CTCTCTCTCTTCACTCTCTCGCTCTCTCTCTCACACACACACACACACACACACACACACACACACGTGTGCATTACACATGCACATGCAAAACCATCACAGGCTTTATCTTTCATATCTACCATAGTAGAAATTAATCAAGAAAAGGTTAAAGCACAAGAACATACAAACTCACACATACATTTAGCCATCAGAGTGATGACATCACAAAGCTGATACACTCTATTCTTTCTCCCTCCAGCTACGTAATGCAGTTATATTCTCTAACATACAGTGTGCACAAGACATTGTATTATAATTTGCTTATCTGTGATAACTGGATGTTCGCTGTTACTTGATTGTTGGGTTTGTTTGTTTTGTTTGCTGGCTTCAGACTCAGCATATAACTAAGAATGAAGAAACTTGAACTCTTGCTCCTTCTGCCTCCACCCTCCAAGTGTTGGGATCACAGGTCTATGCAGCAATCCCCTTTGGAAGTTTACTTTCTTTCTGGAATTTTCTGTGCAATTAGCCATTCAGTGAGCAACTTTGTGCAGGAAATATTTTTTCCCCAGAGGTTGAGATTATCTCCTTGCTGCTGATTCTCAAAAGTTAAAGTCATTGGACTACAAGTGTTCCACAGTTTATGAAAATATTTTAGAATGTTTTCCAAATATTTTCTTTAAGCATATTTATAATTTTTCTTATTTGTGAGAATTTGGGTTTATGGTATATAATCTGGGGAACAGAAACAAGCACAGTTGGACGATAGAAGTCTGTGTTCTGATCACCCAGAGAAAAGCATTCTGGAAGCATGCTGATCTCCTTCGGTTTTTCTTTGTGCCCTTCTGTCTGTGGCAATGACATTTGTGAGGCCCAAGGTGTCCTGCAGACTTTCTTAACTTATCCCGGAAGGACACCTGGTGGATAGAATTAAATAATCCGCATCTCGTTTTTCACTGGTGCCATCAATGTAAAGTCCCATGAGCCAGTGGTGACCTCAGGATCTTGGCTCAGGCGAGTACACCTGGCGTCTACCCTCTGGCCCCACCAGTCCCGGTTCCTACAGAGCACCCTGCCCAGCCATCTACCCGGGGAGCACTAGCCTGTGCTGGAGAGCGGAAGCAGTGCTGAGGATCCAGAACTCGCTGAGGATGCAGCCGAATGCCAGGTGGGTGTACTCTGGGTCCTGTAGGGACACCACCCAGGGGAACTCGTTGCTGCCCACGAGGTTCTCCTTGGAGTCGTCCACGATGATGGCTTTCTGGGAGCCGCAAACTGCAGAGGGAGCATAGGCCTCACTGTGTGGTAAGAAGCTGGCCCCCTGTGGGCGCTGCCATTTCCCAAGCCCTTGGGACTCCTGTTCTGCAGGCTCTGTTTTGCTTGGGGCTCTACCACCCTGCTGCTTTGTTCGTCCCAGGAGATCTTCCACATAAAAGATGCTTGCTAGCATCTCTGAACCCTTTAAAGGTCTTACTGGACCCTACTACTGGCACTCTTCTGTGGGGCCACTTCCTAGGCCTTGTCTGGCAATTTTTCTTACAAAAGCAGGTGACAACCGGACCTGTAAGCATCTTGTCTAGACCCTTTCTTCGGGGAAAAGCTGTTGCTTGCTTTCCCAACTCTCCTCTCACAAGGTGTGGTGCAGTTTTACAGCTTTGTGATGTCATTCTTATGGCTAAATGTATGCGTGAATTTGTGTGTTCTTGTGCTTTAACCTTTTCTGGTTTATTTTCTACTATGGTAGATGCAAAAGATAAAGCCTGTGATGGTTAGCTTTAATTATAAACTTGATGTACCCTAAAATCACTTGGGAAGAGAGTTTTGGGTTTTTTAAAATAATTTGTTTTTACTTTATGTGCATTGGTGTTTTCCCTGCATGCATGTCTGTGTTAGGGTGTTGGATTCCCTTGGAACTGGAGTTACAGATAACTGTGAGCTGCCATGTGGGTGCTGGGAATTGAACACCAGTTCTTTAGAAGAGAAGCCAGTGATCTTAGCCACTGAGTCAGTCATCTCTCCAACCTTGGGAAAAGAGTCTTAATGAGGAATTATCTAGTTAAGGTTGGACTGACAGCATGTCTGTTGAGGACTGCCTTAATTGCTAATTGATAGAAGAAGGACCAGCCCCCTTTGGACAGTACCTGTGTACTGTCTACAGTACACAGTAACTGTGTAAGAGTGAAGAAGTCTCAGGGGTGATGGCCTACACCTTTAATTCCAGCACTCAGGAGGCAGAGGCAGGGGGAATCTCTGTGAGTTTGGGGCCAGCCTGGTCTACACAGAAGAGTTCAGTGCCACATAGTGAGACCCTGTCCAAAACAACAAGAAAACAACAAAAGCAAAGAAAGTTAGCTGAGCGAACAAGCAGGCAGCACATGAGCATTCATTTCTCGCTGCTCTCGACGATGGGTGTGATGTAACAGCCGCTTGAGCTCCTCATGCGTGGTGTTTAGTTTAGCCACAGCAGCAGAATTTATACTAGGACAAGAACTTAAGAAAGTGAAAGAGTCTTGAGCATAGCCAACATTCACTACTTGGGACAAGTCTCCCTTGACCCTGGAGGTAGACACTGCTAAAGTGGATGGGGGACTCCAGCTCTAGGGCAGGTAGCACCTGTCTCCATCCCACAGGTGGAAACATATGGAGCCAATGCCAAGGAGTCCAAACTCCACCACTAAACTTCTCGTCTGAGTTCCAGACATACCCTCAGCCTCGGATTCCTGCTTGCCTTTCCCTGCATCCCCTGCAAGTACTGATATGCATGGCTCCTCCCACCAGGTCTGTTTTGCTTGTCACTGTGTCCCTAGGAGCTAGCATGGTGCCTAGTATCTAGTTGGTGTTTAGTAAGTTGATGTGTGAGTAAAATGACTCCGTCCGTTGTCTATTCCCTGACCTCCTGTCAGAGGAGATAAAATCCCTGACATGTGGAGGTTCCCCTTCCCAATCCTGCTCATCCTCTGCCTTCCAGACTGTCCAACTGTGCATTCTCCTGGGAAACCTGGATTTTGTTTCCAGGGAGAGTACAATGTTGTTTAAATGCCATGCCTCTTCTTCCAGCCTAAGGTTGGATGGGTCTGTATTGTTCTTAAAGTTCTATATTCATACAAGCATAGAGACTATTAGAACAGGAAAAGATCATGGAGGCTAGAGAAGGAAAGAAAAGGTAAGGACAGGAACTGACTTCCTTACAGTGCTGGGTAGGGTCAGCTAAGCCCCAACTTTCCAGGGATCATTCATAAGAAGATGGCAACTCCAAGAACTATGTTGCTCCCCCAAACTGCTGACTCCTTCCCTTGGCCCTTGGCCTCCCTCAGCGGTTGGCACACCTTGTTCTGTTGAGTTCCAGTGCCCACAGGACTCTTTCTCAGCTCCCTGTGGAGCCAGGGTGTAGATATTCTCCACCCCAAGAGCATCTGGCATCTATGAAAAATCTCTGGACACTGCATTTGCAAAAAAGTTTCCCAGAGTAGACCCTGACATGAATTTGGGAAGAGTCTAGAAGCAGACTTCAAAGTCAAGTTAGTCTCTTAGTATGCTGTGAGTTCTTGGGCAAGACACTACTCTCTCTGGTGCTGTTTCCTCTTTTGAAGGGTATAGTCATGGGCCTATGTACCACTTGGGATTGTTGCAAGATCATAGGGGAGACTATGGGAAAATGCAAACTCTATCTCTCTAAATGATAGCGTTGAACCTTGGAGCAAAATTGGCAATACCGTTTCCCAAACTGCAAACAATCTCCCTGCTTGCTCTCACATCCCAAACTGCAAATACCCAATGCTTGCTTCTGTGTTGGAGGCCTTGGGTCTCCATGCCATGTAACAGGTACCCATAGCAGATCCTGTGCCTTGGGCTCCCAGTGAATGCCGTTTCAGCCATTCAGCCACTTACACAGAGCCCTCCCAGGCACTGGTTTGGGAACTAAGCTTGTAGGAATGGACTTTGGGAGTCGGTGGAAGTGACACTTGAAGGACTGATGGCTACAGGAAGACCCAAAGGATGAGTATTTAGAAGTAAATAGAAGGGCTTCTTCTGGTGGTGACCTAGGTTGTTGGCAGCAAAGACATTTCCAAAACATACAGTACATTGTTATCTATAATGTTGTCAAGAACTCAGAGAGGGTTAGGTATTTCCACATGCCTTTAATCCCAGCACTCAGGAGGCAGAGACAGGTAAATCAAGGCCAGCCTGGTCTACTTACTGAGCACTACGGCTAGCCAACGCTATATAGTGAGACTTTGTCTCAAAAAACAAAACAAAACAAATAACAACAAAAAAGAACTCAGAGGACCTCTTCATTATGGGTTATCCTGGGACCAAATTTCCATCCATAGATAGTCTCTTACACAGGCTTTGCTGGGACAACACTAAGGATACTTCAGAAATACCAACAATGACATTCCTTATCTGTGCCCTGAGTTTTCTCTGGAGACATTGATGATCTATAAAACAGGGATTAGCCAATCCTTCCCATTTAACACAGGGATTAGCCAATCCTTCCCAAACCAAGAACCTCCATGTATGTGATGGCATTCCTTTTTCCAAAACACTATTTGGGGAAGCAGCTCAGTGGCAGAATACTTGTGCAGTCACTGCCTTGTGCCTGATTCCATCTCTAATGCCATGATGAGAAAACAAACCAAGTGTTTGCTTTGGGTCTCAGCTATGGCTTAATGGGAAAGATACCATGTCTGTTTCTGATGGTCTCTTTGTCTCCTTGGCAGGGAAAAGGAGGAGGAGGAGGTGTGGGGTCTGTGCATTTGTGTGTGTGTGTGTGTGTGTGTGTGTGTTTGATCACCTATCTAACCAATGGCAGCAAAGGGGGATAGAGCCCTCTTAACTTATCTGTCCCCTCTTCACCTACCTTTTCCTAAACTTGGTTTGCTAGTCCTGAGCAGTCTACAGGTCAAGGAGGAGGCGAGCATAGAAGTCACTTCTGCTGCCCAAGAGACCTCTGCTGCTGTGGGACTCACATCAAGTCTGTGTGGGAAGCAGTTCTCACACTGACCCCTACGCCCCATAGGCCATTTTGTGCCCTAGAGCTGATTTTCATAACTGTCTCCAAGCCTTAGATTTAGTCCCACACCCATGCTCTGATACTGCATTGCCTAGTTCACCACTCACACTTGCTGCCCAGGACAAAGTTCTGGGGATTGGCTTCCTTACCAAGTGAGTTCCTCTCTAGGCATTAGGGGCCTCTGGGTTTTCCTGAATGGCCCTCCACCCCACCCCAGCCCAGGCTCCCCCTGAAACTGAACACCTTGGGAAGGGATGCACTCACTGGCAGATGATGAGTGAGACATGTACAGCAGGACCAGCAGCACCGCTTGAATCTCTGCCATCCCCGGAGAGAAACGCAGCGAGCACCATGGGCAGCTGGGAAGACAGAAGAGACAAGACTCCATCATCTTCCCACACCGCAAGGGGTGATTCCTATTGTAGAAGCCCATTTCTTTTTACCACCAAAGGTTCCCGGGTGAGCAAACTGACCTGTCACATCCCCAGCTCTGGGTTCTGTACAGACATAGGCGGGAAGCGGCTGTCTGGCTCCGATGCTCAGCTAGCAGTTTGAGAGCTGGCCCAAGGAGAGAGGGTAGTCTGCTTTTTCCAGTTTTCTTCTCAGGGTAGCCTGGGGCTCTGGGTGTGCTAGAGAGTTGGTTCTCTAATAAGGGTTGGTTTTTGATTTGTGGAATTCAACCCTTGCTTTAACTGTATAGCCATAAAACACTGCTGAAGAAAAAAAAAAAAAGACAGGGTTTTGGTGGGAGCTCCCCCAGGGATTAGTGTCTTACTGCGATCTCACCCTCCTATTAAAACTCACATCAAGTCTTGCTGGGATGTCTTCACTAGCAACAGTCTCAGCATTTAGCTCAGTCCATTCATATAGCCACCCTCGACATAGGCACTCTCGTAATCCCTATTTTACAGACTCAGAACTGACACTCGGACTTTGAGTAACAGGCCCAAGGTCACTCAGCAACTAAGCAGTAAATCTGGAATGTGAGCTCAAAACTATATGAACCCTTAGGCCCACGGGGCTTCACCTCACATCCCGGCCTTAAACTGTGCACCATGACCTAAGGAAAATGTGCGCACAGTTCTAAGTCACCATGTTCCCCTCATGACATGAGATGTTTCCTTTGTCCTCAGGATGGTGTGACAAGTTCTTCTGTGAACTGTTCCCACTAAAGGAGAAATGAACTCACTGTGGCCTTATGCAGCAGAGCTCTACAGGGGAGTTTCTCTCTACGCCTTGGGAAGAATGTTCCATTATGGCATCATGGTTACCACGGCATCTCTCAGCAAACATTTGGATTTAAGAGAAACAGGATGAAATGTGTGTTATTAGCTGGCCTTGATGAGGTTATTCTGGAAGATGCCTTCTGGGTATGGCTAAGAAGACTCCTCCTTTGCGAGATGACAAGGTCCTTGGTTGTAGCTACAGGCTGCCTCCTGCTCAGCACCTGCCCTCACTTATACAAGTTGCCTGACAGAGTGAGCATGTCTCCAGTCCCTCACACTGCCAGGATGGCCTCTGGGAGATGGAGCTCAGTTTTCTTCCCCCATGCTCTCACCTTGTGGGTACAAGCTAAAGTCCTGGGCAGGTTCTAGGAAATAATGTGGCCAGGTGAGATCTGCTCTTCAGCTGCTAAGAGCAGGCCTTAGTTTCATACATCTGCTAGGACTGGATGAGTGTTGACAACGTCATGGTAAGATATAACTCCGTAGAAACACAAAAGGCTAGTGGGCTGCTGGCATGGGCTCTCAGAAGAGATTCACTTGGTGGATAATAGTGACCAAAGAGAGGAAGTCTGAGGAAATGGAACATGGGTCCTAAGAAAGTGGTGGCTGTCTCCGGCTGACCCCTGATGTCCTCTGGGGAACGGGTTTGGGCAGTGAAAGCCATCTGTTCATTGTTTGATGTTGGAAGTCCCCGTGACCTTTCTTGTGCATTTTCTCATTCCCAACCTATAGCCTCCTTGGAAGAACAAAGGAAGCCTTTCCCAGATAAGGACACAATGGCCCAGATTGGTCACTTCCCTACAGTTACCCACCTGGGGATTGGCAGGGGAAGGGCGAACCCAGATGCTTCCAGCCCGGAGGTGGCGAGCCATCTCCTTGAGTTTCTCTGCCAGGCCATTACTGTTTTTATCAGGGGCAGGAGCAGAGATCAGAACTGGGACAAAGCTATAGCTGCTCTCTAGAGGGCAGGGACTGTTAAGTGACCTTTTCTTGAGGAGTCTGTTTCTATTCACCCCAGATAGAGAACATAGGTACAGAGAGAAGAAATGATTTCTAGCCTGGTGAGTTTACTGAAGTTACTCAAAGATGTATAGGTGAGGGGTTACTTGTAAAACCATGAACTTTTATCAAAAACATACCTTTTAGAAAAGTCCAATGCTTTTGAAGGAAATCTCATTGGTTCCTCTTTGATTATGTTTATTAAGCCAAGAGGTCACTTATCATCACCAAAGATGAAGTGTTTGGGAAATGGTATCTGATATTTCCTTCACTCTCCAGGATAACTGATAAAGGAAAATAATAACTGACTGGCCTTGCAAACAATTAGCTCTCCAGTGCCATGCTCATAGCACACATCACTAATCAAACACTGCACCCTTCCTCTGAGTCTGAACTTCTTAGAATACTTCTCAGAGTAGGCAGTCATTACCAATCAATCAGTCATTTCACAAGAAAAACACCATTTCATTCACCAGAACAAAACAAAAGAACTTTCACCTTCAAAGAAAAGACAGGTTTATTCAAGAGCCTCCAGCAGTTAAAACAAGAATATACAGCATACTAGTTCAACTAACTCAAAATATCAATTTCCATACTAAGCATTGTAAATGATTTGCAAAAAATGAAAAAATTATGGTTATGATGAATGGCTTAATTAAAGTAGATAATATACTGATACTTGAACAAATAGCAAGTACGTAGTAGATTGTTGGTTTGACTTTAGAATCAAGAGTTTGGAATATTTTGCAGAAATATTTCAAGATTTTTCAGGCTGTTTATAATCCCATTTCCCCTGTTTCTCTGGCCTGGCAACCTGCAGTCTACCCTGCATCTCTGTGCATTTCCCTATGTTGAACATATATCTAAGCTGGATCGTGTACTTGGTGGTCTTCTGCATCTGATTTCTTTTATGTGGCACGATGATTTCAAGGCTATCCATGTTACTGTGTTTATCAGTGCTTCATTCTTTTATGAGACTAACTAATAGTACATATATGTCCATATGCTGGACATACATATAATATAACTACCATCCATTCTCCTCTTATGAGAGGGCTGTTTCTATGTTGGGATACAGTGAATAATGCAACTATTCATATTTATCTGACTTAAGTTTGTTGGGCCTCTTGCCTATATTGAATCACATTTTCATCATATCTGGGGCTTTTCTGGCCATTGTTACCGTGACTATTTCTGCCGCTTTATCTCTTTCTTTGCATTACACATACGTTGGTGCACTTTTGGTGTCCGGGTTCATCTGTCTTTGTTTCTCAGGCCTAATGATCTTGATTGATTTAAGTTGGCCAATTGTTTCCCTCTCTGTTCTAGTCTGATACTGAAATGCTCTGTGGAATTGGGGAGAGATGGTTATTATGATTTTCAGCTCCAAAATTCCTATTTGGGTCCCTTTTTAAAAATGTTTTAGCTCTTTAGCTATTTATTAATTTTATCTATCTGTTCATTCACTGTTCCCATAATTTCCTTTTCTGTATTTAGTTGTTTGAATATTCTGAAAATAGCTAGTTGGTCTGGGGACTATAGCTCAGTAGTTGAGCCTAGGTTCATCCCTAGTACTGTGTGTAAGTCCCCTGCATGCAGACAATCCTTTCCTGGCTCTTTGTATGTCCCGCAATTCTTTGCAAGTAGGGGCAGGACTCAGATCAATTAAGACCCCTCAGAGCTGACCTTCCTTTGGGCTGGCTGGTTTTCTTTCTAGGCATTCTTCTGGTTCATTGGTTTCCAGATTTCTAAAAACTTAATCTTAATGATTTTTACTAGATTTTTCCCACTGGTATTTATAGAAGGACAGACTTTTTAATTAAAAATTATTCTATATGATCTTTCAATTTTTAAAAATTTATTCTATGTGTGGGCAAACTTTTAAAGTTCCTTACCTGTCATTTTCACTAGTTGGACTTATTTACTCATTTACTTATATTGTGAAGGATATACATACACACCACCTCGTCGCTTAAACCTTTTAAGTGGAAGTTCAGTGGTGTTAACATTCTAGTGTTGGGCAACCATCACCACTGTTTATCTCTAGAACATTCTTTTTATGAAGCAGAATGTATGTATGTACCTTACCTAGTAGTCCCAGAGGGCTGGCCCACAGCTTTATGTAGACCAGGATGGCCTCAAACTTGTGGTGATCTTCCTGCCTCTGTCCCTTATGTGCCAAAATTACTGGTGTGCACCACCAAACTGGCTCCAGAGGTTTTTCGTCTTTTTAAATGGAAAGTCGCCTATCAAACCATAACCCCCATCTCCTCTGTCTACAGGCACCATCCCACATACAATTAGATCCCCACAGTATCTGTCCCTTTGTGTCTGGCATTTCATTCAACATGCCATCTTTTCTGTCCATTTGTGTGGTGGCACATATCAGAATTCCATTCCTTATGTGTGCATGTGGGGAGAGGGCAGGCGGCTGAGGTTGATATCTGGAGTCTCCCTCCATCATTCTCCTCAGTGTTCATGAGGCAGTCTCTCAGTCAAATGCAAAGACTACCAATGAGGCTAGTTTCCATAGTCAGCTTGCTCCAGGGATTTCTGCTTTCTGAGCCTGGAATCCTATGTGGGTCACCACAGCCACCAAGCATTATGTGGGGTTTGGACCTCAAGTTTGCACTTTATCCACTGAGCCTTCAAACTAGAGGCTTCATTCCTTTCTAAATATCACATTATATCCATTCATCCTTGGGTACGTGTACAAGGCATTCCCATCCTTTGCCTGTTGTGAAGAATGCTGAGGTGAGTCCTGGTGTACAGGTCTCTCTCCAAATTCTGGATTTGAATTTTCTTAGACATGTACCTAATTACAACTTATTTGCCAACTTGCTTTTGAGGCAGAGTGGTGACACATGCCTTTAATCCCAGCATTTGTGGGGCAGAGGCAGGCAGATTTCAGGGAGTTCAAAGCCAGCGTAGTCTACAAAGTGAGTTCCAGGACAGCCAGGACTGTTACTCAGAGAAACCCTGTCTCGGAAACAAAAATAGACAAACAAAAGATTTGAAAGCTGATAAGCCAGTTCAGTAAATTTGCAAGACTATAAATCTAACATACAAAATTTAGGGCTACAGAGATGGCTTGGTGGGT